AGCTCTAATGTGGTGTGAGGTAATGTTTCTAGGAAAGTATGGAGACGTTGGAAAGTAGGGAAGGGTGGGGGTAGGGGGTGTCTGAGGGTTGAGAGACCCTTAGTTTTCTGCAGCTGTGCTGTCTGCATATGTTGTTGTATTTGCAGCCAAAAAACTAAGGAGCTCCCCCCATGAATTCATCACCGCGCTGTTTTAACTCACATGCTCAAACTGTTTATCGAAAACTTAAGGCCTTCATATTAGGTCACCCTGCTAATGTCTCAATATGTCTTCTTAGCTTTCATTATGATTATGATGCCTTGACAGGTTCCATACCAAGCCAAGCTACTGTAGGTAGTAGTCGCGCTGTAATGACACATCTCTCTTTCCCGCTATTCAGTTTTACTCTAATCCCTTACACTTATTTAGCCTTGGATTCTAAGAAAGAAAGGCAGCTTTATTTAGATCCATCTGAAACTCGATCAGCCCCATTTTGGCCCAGATCTCCTGAAGGAAATGTCAGAACTGGAGTGACAAGGATTAAGAGCCTAGTCTGAAGGAATGCTGCTGCACATGCCATCCATTTGCAAGCTGTGACTTTATTTACTATGGATGGGACAAAGTGTAAAGGAGCACGCCATAGCTGAGTTTAAAGTATAATAAAGAAACATGATTCAAATGAGTCCAGTTTTCCAGTTTTAGCACGAGTCAACATGGAGGGGGAAACCACTGAATAAAGTAGTTGCTGTGTGTCCTAAAAACCTTCAGACACATATAGCCTGGAGGTTTTCCCACAACCCCAAAATTCATAAAGAGGTTGTGGGTTTCTGATATCCTGTACATTTTTGAAAATGTTATCTTTTAAACTAAATCAAGGTGTGTGTATTCTCGGAGGCCTCAGACATTACAGCACCCTGTTGACAGAGACTAACCTATAAAACAAAGATGTGTGTTTACGCAGTGAGGTGATGCATTTTGGGACTGCTGTGACCTCATGCTCTTTGACCAGTACTGGTATAATAAAGGAAAAACTAATGCAGGCACACATGTGCATTTTGGAGGGAGAAGTGGGGCACTGCAGAGACCCGAGTCATTCTAAAGAAAGCACTAAAAAAAAACTGGACCAGATTGAATGACTGAGGCGTAGAAAGCAATAGTGTGTTGTACAATATTTAATGCGTGTAAGTGAACAAGTATATGTATTATAGGTAAAGTAAAAACAAAAAGGTAAAGTGCAGTATACTCAGAGTAAAATAAGAAATGACAAAGTTCTCACCTTCTAACACCTTCACCACTTCTGTTTTCTTTAAAAACTTAGCTGTCTGCCTTTACTTTGAGTCATCACTTAGCATATGTAAATGTAAAAATTTACAAGAGAAGAACTTTAATTTAGCTGTAAATTCAGAGTTTGTGGTATTTTCAGAATTTTAATGTTCTTTTAAAAAGAAAGGAATATGCTGTGTTGTCAGAAAAGCTCTCAGCTGTGTGCAGTGTAATGATTTGGTCTCTAAAAAACAAAAAAGATCCATGGATAAAGACTTGTTCATGTACAATATCAAAACGGCACCAATCCTGGTGCAAATCCACTGGTACTGTTACTCAGTGTGTAAAGAACTAACTAAACAAACAATCTGAGGCAAACAATGGGGATTCTGACATCATTATTATTATTATTATTACTATTATTACTATTATTATCATTATTCTTATCATTATTATGGAAAGGGGTTTCCAGTGTTTGAAGAGGTTTTGTAACATCCTTCCTTAACACAACATTACAACATTTTTACTCTAACATTAAACTTTTCTTTCGCTCTTTTTGTGAGCTGTGTCTGTAGTGGTTGCCATAGCAGCGCATGCAGACGTGATGCAGCTGTGGTTGCAAAGTGTAACAAAACGTGCAGATTGCTCCATCTGGTGGGGTGAAGTAACCCGTTGAAACCTATGGAGCTAAACCCAATGCTACATAATATTCAATTATGTTTAACAGGTAGCATCACCAGTGCCCTTACAGCAGAGTAAACTGACTCATATAAAGGTCCCCGAGCAGCCAGGTAGAAAATAGTCAGTGTCAAAAGCACTGAAGAGGAATGAGAAAAGAAGGTATAGTAATTCTGTGGTGAGCTATGCAAGTCCACTCTTACACGTTCCTCCCGGATAGCTTAGACTGGATATCCATTTCTTGGAAATTGGAGGTCCATTCATAAGACTAGGATAACATTTCCCTGAATATGTTTTCCTGCTACATTTTTCCAATGTATCCCACCAACATGTTAAACTGTAGCAATGCATATTGTACAAACAGCCTTCAAAGTCTGATTGAAAGTTGGAGTTTAGTGAACTGACAACTAGTGGAAGCACTGAGTACGAGCACATAATATTTCACATGAACTATTTTGCACTCTGTTATTTAAGCCCCTGAAGCCCTTGCATATGTTTTAAGTTATTTATTTTGATTGTAGTGGCTCAGTTTAAAGTTACCTGAGCTTTAATAAGAATAATTAAGGTGTGATCTTATTCAATCTCAAGGTCTATACTGGAATTAAAGCTAGAGAAAAGGTAATGGTGATTTATCACAGAAGAAATTT